CATGTCAACAAACAAGTATAGCCAAGCGCACGCACCTTGTTGCTGTCCTTGTTGTCCCTGAAGATCAACGGTCCTTCGCCAGATGGCAAATCGCCCTGTCCAATGTTCTCCGAGACCTTCTTCCATTGTCCCGACAGTCCGTTGTACGACACGTTCTCCTGGATCAATCCGTTGGGTCCGTTCTTGGTGATCATATAGTAAGCTCCGTTATCGCCGGCAGTGATGGTGACATCCATGCCGTATCCTACGAGATACTCTTCCGCCGCGGTGAAGGTCACGAAATCATTGGTATAGCATCGGAGGATCTTCCAGCCGGCCGAGATGCCGTTGCCGGTAGAGAGAACGCTCGAAGTCCAGTACACCATGTAGGCGTTACGCTCAGGGTCCCAGATGGCATCGGGCGCCCAGGTCATGCCGGCATTGTCGGGGGATACCTTGGCGAGCCGGGGGCCAGACCAGGTTTTCAGGTCGGTGGTCTCCCAGACGACAATGGACTTGGAGCCCTTGGTTTGCATGTCGGTGTTGGACCAGCCGCCTGGCAGACCGTTGACTTTGAGGTCCTGGTGCAGAGTGTTAGTGGCTGTGGGTTCTGCCTAGGATGGATGGTGAGAAACGTACAGTGGCAATGATCCAAAACTTGCTTCTATCCGGAGCAGCGATCAATGAAGGGTCGCGAATGCCCTTGGTACCGACGTTGCTGGTCAGGAAGGGTTGACCATTCTTGAGCGTTGTCCATTGAGTGGGATCATTGTTGTTGCTGACAGCCATATAGATCTGCTCGCCGTTGGAGGTGCCTTCGCCTGTGAACTAGGTGATTGTCAGTTCTTGAACTTGGCCTTTTCCAAGGCACAAAAGTACGGCAGGAAAGGCTGACTCACGTAAACATAGGCATAGTCGGTGAAGCTGGTGTCTGTTGACCTGATGTCACATGGGTTCGCGGCTGGGGCGGCCCAGATGGGCGACAGCAGGAAGGCCCAGGAGAGATAGGCGGAGGCTTTCATCGTGAGTGTCTAATGTCAGCTAAGTCCGGTTCTGTTGTGAAGTGGCTGATGATGCTTTGACTCCAGACACAGGCCATCGCTGACATCTTTATACCAACGAGTTCCCAGCAACCGCTCCGACCAAACCTCACTTATCGAATTAAGGTAATAACTGCCGAAATTTGAGGTGTTGTTCAGGAGGTAAACAACACCTGACCTACGCGCGCGAATGACAACCAGGGCTTGTTTGAAGCTCCTCGCCATGCCTTGCCTCCTCACTGTTTGACGTGCCAAGAAGAACCACTCGCTCGGAGCTTGTTTGAAACATTGCCTATTTGGGACACGAGACATTACTGTATACTACCTCACCAGGGGTCGTTTGAGGCTACTCGCGATGCCTTGTCGCCTCCTGGTTCGGGGTGCCAGGAAGAATCACTCCCACCGCTCGGAGCTGTCCGAAGAAATCGCCTATTTGGGACACGAGACGTCACCATACTACCTTTCCAGAAGGATATTTCTCCGGACGTCCCGTTAGGCTCTGTTCAGGGCGTGCTCGGTGTACCCGTAGGGCTTAGAAATGGAAATCTGGAGATCTGGGGGAATGTGGTTTGGGACTTCGAAGAAGTAAATTGGCAGGATGGGTCTAATGCCTGGCCCCTGTCACTTGCCTGGTGTGTCCCTTAACAGTTTCTCGCCATTTCTGGCGAGGCCGTCGTTAGAGATGATAACTTGGCAATCGGAACTACTCCACTATCTTGTGTGGGCGTGGTGTGGTTGGTTCAAAAAGTCTTGGCGGGTCAAAGCTTCAGAAAGTCATTTCTGTTCAGGACCTTCCGACTTCCGAGGTGCGGGAGACTGACTGCCTTTTCTGAAACGCGACCTTTTGTTCAGGCCGATGCTGGTCTATTTGTTAGCTCAAGACCTCTGGTCAACTTGTCCAGGCGTTTCAACAAGTTCGCATGAACATGTCAAATTAAGTAATGATCCTCTATTCTTGACCATGACCCTGTATTATACATACTTTAGTGCCATCTTGGCGTTCAGGATAGGTTGCATGTGTCCTACTCGGGGCACAGAACTGATAGACAAACCAGCATTAGACGACGTTCTTTGCTTCCCACCTGCCGAGACACTTCCGAGCACCCATCTTATAAGTGCGCCGAACACGCCCTCGATGCCCTCCATGTTCACAGCAGGCAACTGGTGGAAGATTTAGGACCTTGACCTCTTGTCAGGAACAGTGATTGGCGCGCTTCCGCTCTTCGGTGCTTTATCTGATGAAGTTAAGGATTTAAAGTTTTGGTACCGCGCCCTTCAACTACCGATAAGGTTGAAGCCGTCTTCCAAGAAGAACTTGGCCGCTCATTGATCGGTAACAGATCTCAACCGGGATATCGGGCCACCTTCGCGGGATGGAGGGCTAGATCCCGGTGCATTGCCCTCAAATGAGTCAAAACCTGCTCTTGCAAGCTCCGAGATTCGTGACCGAAAGTGTCCATGATGCCACGGGCAGCATAAGTATCCTCGAAACATGTGTTGGTACGAAGGCCCAAGGATGTCAAAGGCAGAGTTGGACACGAACACACAAGGCTACCATCATCGAGCGATGAAGGATCACCATTCTGCAGTGGTAGCAATGACGGAGATCGTCATGCCATACGTTATGCAACATAGGCGCAGCACAAGGGGAAGGGGGCTTCAACTTTCTTTGTTCACTCGCTCGAAGACCGAATGAGAAAGGACTGCTCTCAACTTTTGCATTCTGTCAGCCAATGTAGGCTCATCACCTGGGAGATCTTGTTCTTGAAATTGAGGATATTCTCACGTTGGTAAGCCCAGACAAAGACGCCTCAAAGGATCCTAATAATATTTTCTTTCATCGAATTTTTCCGAGCTTTTGTCGGCGGGATAGTTGGGTTGAAAGGAGAAGCACAGGAATGAACAAAGAGACATGCTTTTCGAACGATACAATGGCTTTGATGAAAGGAAGACTCGATTCAACTTACAACAGCACACGAGCATCAAGTGATACAGTCGAGATCTTTACAATGACCATTGTCAAATCCGTCATCTCTCACAGTTTTCCTTTGCTTCGCTGGTCGATGAGCTCTTCTGTAGATAATGGCCCATCCCCTCACTTCTAGTAGAATTCCCAAGGAGGTTTACTGTACTATAGTCTAGTTTGATCCTAGGACAACCGGTGCAGCTCATCAAATCTCGTGGGACAATTTGGTTTCCCACTTGTTACACTACAAGATGATGAAAGCGCGTTCATGTACCGGTCAGGTAAAGGTACTTACTCGAGGAACCAAGCGATGTGCCAAAGAGTTACTACAAAGCATCACCGCCATCGCCGAACAACCGACCCCGAAGAAAAAGCCGAAACAATGCCGCTTGCCGCGCTCGTATCGACCCAGAATCAGAACCGCCAACACCAACACCTCAGGTAACTCGGACTCACTATCCCCAACAACGAAACAAACCTTCAACCACAGTAGTAGTACGTCCCCCCAGTCTCCGATCCCTCCAACCCCTCGACAAACACCTTCAACCCCCATCACTACGCACCTCCACCACCTCTCCACCTCCCACCCCTCTCACACCCGCAAGCTCACCCTCCGCACCCGTGGTCTCATACCCCTCCCTTCCTCTCTCACGTCTATTACGTCTGATCACACCCGCCTTTCCCCTACATCCCATGCCCTCCTCTTGAAAAAAGCTTCCAGCCTCTCCCAGTATGAACCCTTCGTGCTCCCCCGCTCCTTTCGACGACATCAAGCCCACACGGTAGATGCCACTCTGGCGTTTGCGCAATCGGAGGCTGGATCGGCGTTCTGTATTAGAGAGGATGGTTTGTTGTTGACGGCGGCGCATTGTGTGGTTGAGACGGTGCAGACGGTAGGGAGGTTGTTTTGGCTAGTTATGCCGGCGCCGGTGGAGGGGAAGGAAGGGGAGGATAAGGGGAAGGAGAACTACTCGGGTTCAACATTACGAGGAGGAGGGTGTAGGAGAGGAGGTTCGAATATCCCTCCCAAGTCGAGGTCCAGGATCGTATTTGCTAGGTGTATAGCGTGGGATTTGGGAAGGGATTTGGCGCTTTTGAAGATTACGCATGCTCAAGCCCTAGATGAGGGTTGTAGGTTATCTGCTGGAGGGAAAACTACGAGTGGAAAGATGACGAATTCCTCCTCATGCAAGAGAATTGAGATGGGGGCGGGGAACTTTTCCTGTGTCAAATTACCCTCACCCTCCCTCTCACGCGGATGCGGATCAAGCAAACCACATAAAGAACCACCCCTTCATACTCCTCTAGTAGCAATCGGCCATCCAGCCGACGAACATCCAGACGATCCGCCGGGCGTTAAGGCGTACGGGTCAGAACACCGTCGGGTCTTGCAGCTGTCTTCTGGACGATACCTCGGGATTGCGCCGGACAAGGTAGACAGCCCGCAGGATAATTCTGACACAGGCGCGATGCAGCATGATTGCTGGACGTACTGGGGGCATAGCGGCGGGCCGATCTTTGAGCAGAACACTGGAGTGCTGGTGGGCGTACATGTGGATTGGAACCCGGAAGAGCCAATGGTGAAGAGGGCGGTGCCGTGGGTGGCTGTGGAGACGTTTTTGGAGGAGAACGGGTTTTGGAATTGAGTACTTATTACACTAGTAGTGAGAGGGATGGGTTAGAATAACCGTCCAGGATAAATCGGTGTCACATGGGAATGTTTTATTTCACGACATGACAGTGTATAAGTCTTTTGGCAAATTGTCAAAGCATTCGATTGCCTAGGAACAGATGATAACCGAGTTAAAGCAAAATTATCTGAGTGCGCCTTCTCACGCCAGCCAAATAAATCACAATTGCGATCCCGTGTCATATCCCATGCTGTTGTTACAGTTCCGTCATCCAAAGACAAAAGTCATTAATTCGTATCCCGTGCGCCAGGTCAAAATCAGATGATGGTAGTCGTAGTAGTAGGTGGATGGCCTCTACTCATCGTCGTCGGCACCAGTGCCACCGGAAGCCTTGCCGCCCTTACGACCGGCCTCGCGGGCCTTTTCGGAGCCAGGCTCAAAGCTGCCGCTGGAGGCCTTACCGCCCTTGGAAGCAATCTCGCGCTGTTTTGGGTTCATGTGTCAGTCCACGCTCAGTCATGGTTCACTGCAAAGAGGTGGGGAAATCAAAGACATACCTGTTTCTCGGGATCCATGCTGGCAAAGCCACCGCTGTGGCTGGCCTGACCACCCTTGGAGGCGATGGCCTGAACCTCTTCCTTGGGGCTGGAGAAATGGATTATGTTAGCAAAGTGTCTTGGCAGTGTGGTTGAGGAGATAATGATGGGAAACATACCGGTTGGCGAAGTTGCCGGGGTTGTCGTTACCAGTGCCAGCCATGTTGATGATGTTGTTTAGGAGAATGTGATTTGGTATTAGTGTAGTTGTGCGTTGAAGTTGTTGAGTAGATGCTGTTATCTGTTGATGAGTTGCTTGATGGAGGAGAAGATATTGTTCGATGGGGAGGAGGATAAGAGATCCTTATATACACAAAAACAACTGATGTGAACCAGCAACCTGACTGACTATTGTGAGTTTGTGATGTCAGTTTGTATGATGAGATGCCATCTGCCACTGAATGCTCGTTTTCGTCTCATCCGCATAGTATCGTAGCCCTTTGCATCTCGCAATCGGTTCAAAATGAGAGATGGTGATGTCAACATGATGCCCACTGCAGAGATCGGATTCGGTATACCAACAGAATGATTCTGACAGCGACCTAAATCGGTTTCGATCCGTCTCGTCGATCCCAACCTGTCCATCTCATGCAGCGGTCGAGGCAGGAGGAAGCTCCCTGCCGCATTTGGAAATGTCAACAATTCGGGTCGATTTGGAGGTGCCAAGACTCTTTGCTTTCGGCAGCTTCCAGGCTACAGCGGGGTCAAGGCAAGAAGCGGCGTTTGTGAGTGGTCGGGTTAACCTACGGCCCTGCGCTAGTCTCCTGTGTAAGCGTCATCACGCGGGGAATAAGCTCCCTGGGCCCCACACTAACCCCACAGCGGCATCGCCGTGCCTGTCAGCCCCAAATCTTTCAGCCAGCTAAATTTCATAATCAGCTCGTCACCATTTCACTTCTTTGGTTTGCATTCTTCACTCGATTTGTAACATAAGGACAGTAGTTTTTCCGGCACGGCGAGTCGCATTACTTTGTCGGTTCATACCTAATGTTTGTTTGTTTGTTTGTTTGTTTGTTTGGGAGCTTCCACAACCGCTCAGCCACTTCGTAATCGATTGATCTGACTTTGGACGTCGATTTAGGCACATCGACGTGCGAAACCAGCAAAGGCCCACGCGGCGGGTTTAGTATTGTGAAATTTCCTGACAAGCCAAGTGATGATGAAGTTGCGGCTCGAATCATCGGCCGGACTCGATAGATTCCTCATTCAGCATATACCAGACGGTTAGTCTACAGCTGGCCGAACAACTGCTCCAGAACAACGTCTCATGCACTTATCCATATGGCTACAATATGTAAAGGGGGGATAGACGACAAACTCAAATATTCAATGGGCTTCGATCTCGTTTCCATCGATGACCCTTCCCCTGGAATCCAGAGTGGGAAATGCAGATCAGATCGATGGCTGAGCCGTCAAGGTACATCGATCGAACCATTCCTTCCTTTTCGGATGTTGGCGATCTGGATCGGAAACTTCCTTTGTTCTCGGAAGAAAGGAGCAAAGGGCTTGACAGAAATCGTAACCCCGCTTGAAGACAAACAAGTGGACAAAGTCAGACTTGTGTATTTCCCACATGGAAAAAGCCATCGGCCTTCGTTATTCATTGCCCTGGGTGCGAGTGGGCGTCTCCCGTCTATCCCCACAAACCTGCCGACTACCTCGCAACCACAAGCGACACCAAAGCATCGAACAAGCATCAAATCAATTATTACCTAGTCTATCGACAAAGACAGCCTAACCTATCCCAGTTATCCAGAAATAAAAGGTTATCATCATCCCAAAAGGAGACGGTTTGATGACGTCGCTCACAACTGAGGTTTCGCAACTTCCTCAACACTCTGAAGTCACAGCTAAAGCCCAGTCAATCGCACCTCGCGGACCTGGAATCCATCATAGTTCCCGCTTCAGACCCTGAACTTGGTGCCCTTCTTACTACCCTTGGTCTTCCTATCGGCCGCCGGTTTCCCGGGAGAAATGCCGGCCGCGACCTCGGCGTGACGCTGAAGCTCCTTGACCAGGGCGTCGTGCTTCTTCTGCTGCCCGTCCGGCAACACTGGATTTACACCACCAGACTCCGCCGCGACAGCAGCATGGGATGCTTGACAGTGGCCACTGGCTTCCGCATCAGGCCCCATGCAAACCGTGGTACTGTTTACATTCCGGTCAGCACAGGGTCATCAAGCAAATGGGTGTTGTTGAGAAGAACTTACTCCTTGATCCAGTAACGATCGCACATCTGTCCAGGCTGCTTACGCCAGACACTGTTCAACTGTCCAACCACCTTCTTGACCTGATTGATCATACAGCCGACATTCTGGGTATAGATAGACTGTACCGTAGCATCGTATCCAGCCATGACTCCCACCTGGGCATATGCCTCGAGCCAGCTGGCCTTGGAATAGTGGTCTGCGACGCAAGTGTCCTTGGCAACGGTATCCTTCCAGTCTTGCGAAAGGGAGTACCAATCGTTGATGGACGCCCCGGCAACGTGACGGTCAAGGTTGTGGCTGAGCTCATGGAAGAAGACGGACTCGGAATTGCCGCAGTCGCCAAAGAAGTAGTTGTTGAAGCTATCGCTGTAGGCTGAGCACATGTCTCCCGCAAAGCTGGAGACATAGCCATTATACTGGCGAGCCTTGACAGGGAGTTGACCGACACGCTGCGCAATGGTGTCGATGGCCATGGGCGAGTTCTTGCATCGGCAGACGGTGGTGGGAATGGGGCACTATTGTCAAGTTAAGGTAAGCACAGATTCCGAATCCGAGGCAAGTCTTTTACCTACATCCGAGTATCTGACATCGTATACTTCGAGATCGTACGGGTTGCAGTACTTATTGTTGACAGACGTGTCATAGCACAGCTTGGGTACAGTACCCCAAGGCCATTGACTTATGGTGTAGGGTGCCGGGGTCAAACTTTGAAGTCCGCCGTTCGCATCCAGGACGTTGAGGCCGCTAAACTTCTCGCCCATCGATTCCGGGGGACCGTCCGCCAAAACAGCCGGTGCAACGGCTGCAAGCAGCAGGGCGAAGAAATGAGCCTGGAGCATTTTGCGAGGAGGTTACAGTACGACAAATGTAACTTTTGGTCGGGGTATGAAGGCTGCTTGTCGAGCTAGGGCTTCGTCTCTGCCGCCGTTGCGCTGTTGGTGATGCCCAGTCCTTCTTATATGCCTTGCTTTGTCATTGGGATGGGAGTTGGGTCACCAGTATCACTAGGCGTTGACACACACCAGCGCAAACCATCACAGCCAACGGACCTCTTCACCCTATCTTGGAGGAACGCCGTGAGCGAAGCACGATTTCCATTTACGGGTGACATCAACCTTGTTTCTACGCCCGCGATGAACTCCGCTCCGCCAAGAATTAGCTGATCGGTTTAGAATCCGGTGAATGAACATCAATGTACTACTGATTCGCATTCAAACCTGATGTTTCTGAACACGGAACTAGGCTTAAGATAGTCTAGTACATGTGCTGTCGATCGGGCATGCCAGACTTGCCAGCCGCTCCGAATGGTGTGTTCAGCTTACCAGCCCCGCTGGCCGCCTTACATGCAGGTACTTCCAGATCTGCTAGACTGTGAAGGGAGTAAGAGAGTCCGGTTTGAATGAAAATATGCGGTGGTGCAGGAATGGCAATCGGGGATGCCAATGGTTGCAAGCCATCGACAGGCCGTGTTGTTGCCCTTATGGGCCAATATCTCGGTGTTGGCCGATAAGTCTCGGCAGCTAACCGCAACTGTGGTGGTAGTATTGGGCCTCTTTCACTCAGTCTCCTCTCATAAGGGGGCAGACGTCAATATCTCCGAGTCAAATTCAGCGCCTTAGTGCCGAACCATTGGTATACGAACCACGGGCGTCATATCTCCCGATGCTGAGACAGAAAGCGCCCTTGAAGACTGTCCTTGGAAATTCAAAGAATAATCGATATAAAAACTTGGCAACTGTGGCAGCCTACCAAGTCTGTATCAGTGGGACGCTGTCTATCTAGCCGGACGCAGAGCCCGATTGCCAAGATTCATTGACTCAGGCGGCGTTTCAGATGATGAGATCTCTTGTCAGGTCCAAGGCGTTGAGGCTGAAGTCCACATATGGGCCATAGGCTACGGACAATTATCCGAACGGGTGTCGTATGTCGCACAAGGCTGCTATGCAATTCGATATTCAATGCCGAGTACTTCCCTATCCATGTTGCTCAGTATACTTTCTAGGCTTGCTGCACAAGCCATTGCTTGTTTGTCTGTCAAAATTGCAGCATCCCATCATTGCCTCCTCCTTCTCCTGCTGTTGACGTCGATAGCTAATGGTAGTTTGCATTGACCTAGTATATATGATTCTACCTATTACAGTGTCCTTAGTTTCAGACGAGTGCCCCTTCAGTAAGCATAAGGACGCCCTCAGCTCTCCCTGGCTTCCTCTTCCAGCTCAAGGCCTGTTATCATTCGATCATCGTCTGGCTCGGAAAAGAGTACACTACATTCACTTTGCCGCAAGGCCAATGCTCGCCATCGACAAGGGGACCTGGGCATACAAGGTTATGTTTGTCAGTCTCTAGTACGAGCAAGGCTCCTGAGATCAAGAAGATAGCAGCTTATGCGCACTCATCCTGCCGTTCCCTCAGGTGTTTCTTGTAATGTGCCGTGTTCTGCAGAAAGTCCATGTGATGCGAGCAAAAGGAGGTGTGCATAACTTATTGAACTCGCGCACGGAATCCTAACTTTGTAGTTATGTCCGAGACACCACGAAGTATATAGTCTTCGCCTTTGATCGTTCGATAAATACTTATTCTGTATCACCACGCCTCTTGGTAGTAATGTAGGAAACATTATGCATATTCAATATCATGTTGTGCTGAAAAGGCATGTGGTAAAGGTGAACAGGTTTTTGCTTTCGTTTACCCATATAGTTACAAGATTCCAGCAAGTCTATAACAACATTAGGCGTGGTGGCAGAGTGGTCTAATGCGCAAGACTAGAAATCTTGTTCCTTCGGGAGCGTCTGTTCGAATCAGGCCCACGTCGCACGATGACCATCAACAACCTCTTTTTTTTCGCGAATTTCCTACTGAATATGGACTGGCTTCGCCCTTTTACTATTTGCTTTCTCATTTTTGTTCTTTTTACGGCTTTTTATCACCACTTGGCGATGTTCTTGGGTTATTTGGCGATCTTGCGATAGGACCGGTGCTCATGTCCGACAAGATCACTTCATCGTCATCCCTTTTTTCCTGTACTCATCAAAAAACGGGATGCACTTTCTCAACTCTCCATTTTTTTTCAAGTTTCTGCATCTTGATGCCCTCCTAAAAAGAAGAAGAAAAGGCCTTGGAGTGCTTATTGACATCCCAGCACCACAAAAGGCAATACCCGCCATGCATGCTCACAAGTGAATCACAAGCGTCCCATTCCTAATCAAGTTCTTGAGAAGCGAGCTGTGCCTCTATGCCCCCATCCTGCCATTCACTTCATCATTTATTCTAATAGCCAAAAGAACTCTGTCAGCAAGCAAGTAATCGAATCGAACTCAACACTAACGAATATCCGATGTTTCCCGCAACGTTGATCTTGATCCTGTCGATGGACTAGACCGCGGCTTTCTTAAGCTCCGAGTTGTACCTAGTCATCTCATCTAACTTCTCCGTCGCGTCGTCTATTCGCTGCGAAGCCGCTTCGATGTATTCAACTAAGGTGGGCAAGACTTCATCCCAGGGGATGCCGGAGGAGTGGAGGATGAGGATGATATTGATGAGGATGTCGGTGGCGAGATACTTTCTAAAGGAGAGGAGGTTGGTGTAGCTATGTGGTGTTGTACTTCGTAAGTTAGAAGGGAAAATAAATACTCAATATCTTGCAGACGCGTTTGCCCGACTCAAAGAGTACGACTTGCGAGCCTGCGTGTGTCACCTTTTTCTCCCTCCATACCTGCAGAGTCGCCCTTCATACCGCCATTTCGAAAGTTCGGGAGAGAAAGTAAGAAAAAAAAAGTGTTTGTTGCCACATCTGGAAATTATTGTTGTGAGGAAAATTGGTTTTCAGTTCTTCTTTTCTCGTTTTTGTGTCGCTGATCACCGGTGCTGGTCTTATTACAGAGACGACATTACCACTTCTCCGTTGTCAGTTACTAATCTGTAGTTCGCAGCTGCACTTCTTGGAGGATATTCCTTGAACTGGCGACTCGAATTCAATGTGGTCTCAATGTCAATCATGACCTGTTCCTAGATATTGTAACTTGTGTGACCAAAAGGTTCCCTGTTCCTCCGCAACTGCACGTGTTGGCGCCTCGCTCCGTTCCGTGGAGAACCTGGCCGAGACATGCACCCGGTGAATGGATCTTCTGCGTCAAGTTTCAACCATATCAGTCGTCATAGTGGAGACCTATACAAAGTATCTCAAATGCGTGTTGTTTGACAAAGGCGTTCATTATATATTAGTTGGTACTTTAAGAGGCTTAAGGGCTTTGACACGTGTACTTTATAAACACCGTTGAGGGGCCTTAGTCAGATATCGCTCGCTTATATGAATCCAAGGGCTCACTGCAGGAAAGTGGCTGGGACCTCGGGGCCTAGATAAAAGTCAGTTTCTTCAATCCTTCAACACATTTCATCGTATGACTTACCCCAAACGTGCAGGTTATCTGGAGCTGCCTTTGTGTTATGTGTGGGCTCTCTCATATCGAGGAGATCACCATCCACATAGTGTTCGAGAATAAAACCGGATGGGTCGAACCAGTAATCAAAAATCTGGCTGCCCATCACGTGTCGTCCAACACCCCAACAGTTCTTGTAACCTTGATGGCGGAGCCAGTCGTGACCGAGCACCTGAGTATCAAAGTCGTGCGTCTCGAAGGACGAGTGGTGGACGTGCATCTTGGGACCTTCAAAGAAGAAGAAGCAGTGGTGGTCCACAAGGTCGTTTCCGCGATTGAGTCTGAAAAAGACAGTCTTGTTGACACCTTCATCGTTATGGACAAGCTAGGTATGTGTCAATATTGGGTTCGAGATCGAACAAAGGCTGGCATGCATACCTCACTAGGGAAGAAGTTGAAGTATTTGGTGTAGAAGTCGTAGCACTTGGCAAAGTCGGTTACACACACGCCAAAGTGGCCCAGCTTATGCACTGGTGCTGGTCGCTTCTTGAAGCGTTGGAACTCGTTGGCTCCGCGATTCTTCTCCTTAGGCTGGCAGTCATGACGAGTTAGCAAGCCAATCCCTATGGGTGTCGTATGAGAACCCGACTTACAAAGTTGAACCGCACAATGGGGAAGTCAACATCTCGCGCCTCCACCGGCGTTTGGCCGTAGACAAGATGGAAGGGGAACCCGTCGACAGGGTCATAAAATGTGACACATTTTCCACCACCAGGGGCATCTGAAAGGTCGTATATCTCAGTGGCTTTGCATTCGCTAGGAAGTGTCTTGGCCGCCTGCATCAGGTCCTCCATGGATTCAACGACGAAGGCTGCACCACCAAACTCGTCCTCATTCGATGCCTCGAGGCAAATAACGAAGGGCTCGGTGCCATAACCGCGGTAGTATGTCTTCTTGCCAACCTCGGCAGTCTGCGCGAAACCGAAGTCTTCGGCAAATTTCTTGGCTTCGTTGATGTTCTTGTGCTTATAATACACATGGGCGATGCGCACCAAGTTGATCTTCTTGAGCGGCGTGGCCGAGAGTCCGGAAGCCATGATATCACTGCGATTATGATAATATAAGTATAGGAGAGATTCGGTCTAGGTAATAACGTCTGCGATGTTGAAAGTCACGATGAAGCTTGACGACTTGACAATGAGTCTGGACTTTGGAGGAAAGGAGGGATGAAGATATGACGGTGAAACCCCAAAGAGGGGACTCGTGGTGAGTATAAGAAGAATGAAGCTACGGGCTTTGATCTGGGAGCCGACACTAAGACTCGGGACAGACCTGAGGTAGGAGTGCCCGACGATCATCGATCAGCCCACAATGGATGCTGTGTCCCCCATGGATTCTGTGAAGACAACCTCACCTGCTCATAGTGCGCTGTTGGTGTTCACGCGGAATCGGTTTCGCGGTGGGGTAAATCCAGATGCGGTACCAGCAGTGACGGACGGCAGTTGAAGATCGGTCAATGCCACCAAGACATTCTGTACTCCACGATGCTAGCTTAATGTTGTGTACTGTAGTACAGGCCGTATCTCTCACGCGGTGAATGTCCCTGCTGACGACGAAGAGCGCGATCGTCCAATGGCGGGTGCCGGATAATCTTAAATATTGGTCTTGTCGAACCATCAAAGGGCTTCAACCCCGGAAGCAATTCTGACAGCAGCTCTGCAACTCCAGGCTGATTGTGGCGGGTGAGGCAGTTCGACGGCATGTCATTGCATGTCTGGACATAAGTCATAGCATGTCGGACGCACTGGGCAATTGGAGTCAGGGGAAGCGGGAAAGGGGCGAAAGCAGCAGCATTATCATCAGACGAACCGCAGACAGCCACTCGGCTGATACGAATGAAAGACCATTGCGCTGAAGGAAATTCGACATGGTTGAGAGGAATTGGAGAAATGGAAGAAAACGTCATAAAGGTAGAACACCAAGCTTCACCTGTCCTCGGGGTATTACCCTAACCCTACCAATTCCCCGCCTTACTCAGGTCGCGGTCAGCTTGCGGGGAGAGGGGCCCGGCAACCCGGGGGGCCAGGGGCCACTGCAGTGTAGTTGAGCTAGCTACCTCTAGGTACCTTCACCGCCCTGTCGGGGAGGCCAAGTGGGGTCAACTCCGTCATTAGAATTCGGGGGAAAGATTGGACGTCAATCAGTGACACATTCGGGCCCTGATAGCTTGTTGCCATTGGCACACTTCAGCGATACATCCATTCAACTTCACCTCCCGCGAATTCCATTCGTTTTCAGTCAGCAATTGTCAGCAACTCGTGACCAACACAACCAAATTGAACAGACCTCGTTATCGTTACCTAGCCTCGGGACGCCCCATCGGATCTCCTATCGCTCTCGCCCCTCTGCGCCGAGATCTCCAACACATACCTACCTGACAGTTCGGCGCGAGTTCCGTGATCCGCCCACTGCAGGACATCAACAACCGCACCTGCATCACCGTCGCAGTCACTGCTCCAATCCATCCTGTACCTATCACGAGCCAAGTCAACCACCATCAGAGACTATACCTACGTATCCCCCCCCAAAAAATGCCACGCAAACTCTCCAAATCCAGAAACGTCTACGCCCCCGCGTCCTCCTCCTCCTCCTCGTCGCACTCCACCACCAACCTCCTAACTCCCTACCCCCAAAATGACGGTCTCCCACCCTTCCTCACCGACGGCCTCCCGCTCCCCTCGCTCGTCGTCCTCGACCTCGACTACACGCTCTGGCCCTTCTACAGCGACTGCCACCCGTGGCCTCCGCTCCGGGCTCTAAGCGGCTCCGTTTTGAGCGACCGCAACGGCGAGAACTTTTCTTTCTACAAGCACGTCCCCATCATCTTGCACTTGTTGCAAGTGGCGGGCGTGAAGCTGGCTGTCGCAAGCAAAAGTCCCGTGGGCGATTTGTGTAGGGAGATGTTGAAGATGTTGAGGATTCCGGGGGGACTGCCGACGAGTGTGGAGGGGTTTAGACGGAGTCCTGCGACAAAGGGGGCGGCGGGGGCTGCTGATGGTAATGGAGATGAGGAGGGGGAGGAGGACAGTGGAAAGAAGACAAAGACAAAGACAAAAGGATCAGGGTCAGGGTCAGGGTCAGGGTCAGGAGGGGGGTTGACGAATGAAAAGGGGCGCAAGACGATCGAGTTGTTTGATGGTGGACTGGAGATCTATGAGGGGACAAAGTTGAGGCACTTTGAGGTCATTCAAAAACGGACGGCGATACCGTACGAGGAGATGCTGTTCTTTGATGACGAGAGGCCTAACTTGGAGGTGGAGAGGGTGGGGGTTACGATGCAGTTGATCAGGGACGGGCTGGATTGGGAGGAGCTGGAGAAGGGAATACAAAAATGGAGGGCTAACAGGGGGATTGCGTAAAATAGAGTGTTGGATTATATGGAGTTGCGCGAGATCAGGGGAGTATAGATGGGGATTCTAGATGACTTATAGAAGGCACATCAAAAGCTCAATCTCACACATCAAATGGCTTTGTCGTACCTAACGGCATTCAATACTTGTCCGTGATGTTCCTGTTCCTGTACTAACCAGCGGGGGTGGTGGAGGATGCCATCATCCAGGGCCCAGGCTCGATCCGTGGTCTACATTTAGAATCTGGGGTACATGTATCTATGTGTTCGGGTGAGCGGGACTAACTTCTGAGTGCTAGATATGGATATACGAAGGGAGAACACAGATCACGTTGCGCGAGATCTATCCGTGCTTAAGAATTTGCAGATGTGCCGAGCTATGAACCCGCTTTATACTGTATATTATGCTTGTTTGTACAAGTTGTGTATGTTTTCCAACCAGAGGTACACAAAAGCCCCGGACTTGGTAGAGCTAGCCAAAGCTGAGAAGAGAAATTTCCAAGGTATCTCTGTATATAACCAAAAATCCCCAACCGCTCAAAGGCTCACCACTTGAGAAAAAGAATTCCCACTCTTATTAAAACGCGAACCTTAAGCCGAGACCACAGGAACCGTAGCCTCCTTCCCCGTCTCAACAACCTCATTCTTCTCAGCATCGCCAACGCTCAAGCCCTTGACCCCCTCGGCCAAAGCGTCCCCATCCACCTTCTTCACATTGCAAACTCTCTCAAGAGTCCCCACACTAAGCATCCTCTGCTTGCCCCCCTCACTCCCCACCGCGACACACTCCACTCTTGTCCCATCAGCCGTCGGCCTCCAGTACTTGGGCCCCTCGGGAAAGTCCTTTAGTCCGTTCTCCCACTTCACCGTCTCCTTGATGTAGGGATCCGTTTTCGGTTGATCACCCCACGTAAAGTCGAGCTCACCACCGTACTGCTTGGGGATATTCTTCGGGTCGATAAACTCCTCCAGCGTAGCCTTGACCTCCGAGGGCCCAAGGATGAAAATCTTGGACACGGTGATAGGGTCGAACCAGCGCTTGATCCAGCCCCACACCGTACTGAAAAAGTAAGGCGCGCCGATGATGAAGATACGGTCCAAGGTTTCCGGGTAATGTGCTGTGGCCAGCTGCGAGGCCGCTTGCATGTGCGACTTGAGGTTCCAGAACTGGCGGAGCGAAACGCCCGAGACGTCGACAATGTTGGTGGACAAAGTGATGGGTGTGGTGGTGGCGTGCGGGCGGTCGGGGAGCTCGGTGCACAAGGGTTGGGCGAAGCGGGTCAGGTTCTCGTACAAAGCGAAGAGGCGCAGGAGCTTGGGAGAGGTCTGGCCGTCAGTGACGGCCTTGGAGGGGTTCGTTTCGGCGGCTTTTTCGTAGGCCGAGACGGTCTTGGAGTCGAGGTGGCGGATCTCGAAGAGGTAAAGGGGGATGCCTCTGTTTTCGTGAATCAACAAGTCAGCATATACATGACCCTTTTCTCCAAGTGTGAAATACTGGGGTCAAGATTTGGTTTAATACTAACCTCCTATCTCTTCTGCCCGTCCATTGGGGGTACAACCGTCTGCTGGCCTCGTACGCCTCCAAGTCGATGGTGTCGTACAAAACGTTGAGGTCGTTCGCCTTGCGCCAATCCTCCGTCTCCTTGAATTGCTTAAACGCATCAACCACGTTCCATCTCCGGGCGCGCAAGTATCGTCTGTGTACGGCATACAACTGTTAGCTTTCCGATCCAACCCAATGAATTCTGCACTTTGTTCTTGTCGTCCACCACCGTCACCACTTATTCCCCTGAGATCCGGATCCTTGCATTGGCGCATAGCGGGAGAACATGCAGTTGCAGTTGCAGACGCAGTCGCAGTCGCGGCGCAACACGGATTGGTCCCGGGATACACTTGATCTGTCCAACAGGGGAGGAGATTGAAAACATACAGCAGTGTCTGGTCGTCATGCGAAGCCGGCGGCCCCGGCTTGTAATATCCCTTTTCTGCCAGGTTGGTCTTGAAGCTCTTAAGCGCTTCCTGCTCTTCCGGCTTGAGGTGTCCAAGATGGCCATTGGGGTAGCCAACTTCGGTGCCGCTAGCGGCAGAGGCATCGGCGATTGAATCAGCGGTCATTTTGTTTGTCTATGATTATATCCTAATATCTTCTTCCTTCTTTGTGTCGCGTCGTATCGTAACAGTCTTTTTTTTCCTGGGGATCGTTATAAAGTTGGACCAGACCGACTTTGATGATGCACGATTCGTCCGATGCGTAAGTTGGGGAAACGGGCGTTTGGAGATTGCCGGTTGGAGGTGATGTTGTCTAGTAATTATTTTTTGGGGGGTATCGTATTAAGATCAAAGCAAAAAGAACCCGTCCGGACGAAGCGGGAAGAGGTTATAGATCGTTTGTAGGTCGGTAGTCAAAAAAGATAATTCCAAGCAAGAGTTTTGTCAGAGAACAGAAGAGATGACGGAAGACTGCAGACCAGACGAACTGGACTTAGTGTGCAGTAGCTCAACGCCAGTAAGAAATACCGCTGACCGCACAGCAAGAAAAACGTCAGATCGAGAATAGGTGAGAAAAGCCTCTAACGCCAACGACGTAAAAAAGAAAAAAAGAAAAAGAGAAAGAGAAGAAAAGCAAAGAGAAAAAAAAAGAGATCTTCCTAGTGCGGTTTCGTCTCAGGGCTTGCTAGTATCTGCGTCGGTTCCGAATCCCCAGATCTGTCGATGCTTGGTAATTTCCCTGACTCCGGCTCCAACCGGGGCACCTATGATCCTCAAGTTCTCCAAAGATCCAATCCTAGCGAACACCCCAGTGTCCCCAGGTCCCCGGGGGCCAACCTCCCCTCAACGACACCTCTCAACACGCCTGCGACGGCCGCTCTACGACCCTCCACGACCCGCTGACTGACCCGCCTTGGCCGCCGTGTCCGCCAATCCGGCAGGGTTCATGACTCCGCTGTACCCCCTGTTAGTCTCAGCTTTCGGGCCATCAATATACTCCGACGGACTACCTGTCCGAGCTCGGCAGCATCTCCAATCCCGAACATTTGGAAGGTTGAGACATCAGGAAGTGCATGTGCTAGGTCATTAGTTCACTGTTCCTCCATTATCAAAATACTAAAGCTCTTGCCTACTATAGACGGGCCACAACGGCACCAGCAATCGCGCCAACTGTATCCCGTTTTTGAAACCGCCAACAACCACCATGTCTCGGTCACTACCAATGCCGTCATATCTAGTAAAAGCCGTTGGCAGTCAAGAGGAGCGTCTCCTCTGCCTTGATAGCATCTTAATGTCTGTAATCGCTTTCCATCCTCTTCACAAAGCAAAATCGTGTCCGTTACCCGCTTCCTTGGATGGCGCAGAAACGTCGCTCTACTCCTCCTCTGCCTCAACCTCCTTCTCCTCCTCTTTCTGCTCTTCAGCCACCTCCTCTGCCGCCTCCTCTGCCGCCGGTGACTCCTCTTGAACCTGCTCGGCATCGACATCAATCAGATTGCCAGCAGCAGGTCCCTCTTGCTCGAGTTTCAGATACTCGTCCCACTCAGGGAAGAGCTCCGAGTCCTCTCCGGGGACGCCCAACACCTTGGCAACCCGGCCCTTCTTTTGTTTTTCCAGACTCTCCTTCCAGGCCGCCACCAGTTCGGGCGTAAGGCTAGGCTTGTATGTTTGGCTGAAGAGCACAGCCTCCGAGAGACGATTGGTGTTCTTGAGGATCTCAATGCAGCCCTCGACGTCACCGAGTAGCCACTTGGCGCTGAAGGCGACGTTGTGCGCGCCTGCCTCTGTAGCTTGCTCAGCGAGCTTGGCAAGACCTTCGCGGTCTGACGTCGAGCTGTAGACAAGCAACAGCGAACCGAGATCCTTTGCCTTGACGAAGCACTCGGTGGCAAGAGGCACATCCCAAGCAGCGAGGCCGGCATCACCAAGCGTCTTCCACTTGTGGTCCGCATCAGTCTCTCGCGCAATGTCGAGGGCGATGTGGAGCTGGCCAAGCGATAGCGCCAGATCGAACTTGTGCTCGGGGTCAGTTGCCACCTCAAGCGCGAGCTCCTTGTGGCCCTGTCCCTCAAGGAAGCGCGCAATCTTATTGAGCTGATCCTCAGGGATGCTTGGGAGTAGCTCGGCAGCCGTCTCCATATCCTCGCGAAGGACAAGAGTCTGATACTCCAAAACGGGGAGCGAGAGGGCGAAAGAGGTAACATTAAGGTCCTTATCGGTGATGTAGACGCGGCCATCACGCTGGAGGTAACCCAAGATGTACATGGGCTTGTCGAAGTGGGCGATGGTGTAAGTCTGGTCGCCAACCAAGTAGTTAAGACGGTTGGTGCTGTTGGTGTAGATCAGGACATCTCCCAACCACTCCGCCGAACGGATACTCTCGCTGATGTCGGTAACGACATCAAACGCAGCCTCAACACCATCATCCTCGACAAGACCAGCCTGGACCGCTTCGTTATAGTTCTCTCTCGAGAACCTGAGGACGTAGGTGCTATCCTCGCAGGCAAGAGCAACCAGCTCGCCGCTCTCGCTCCAGTACACCTGCTTTGGCTCCACCTCAATGCGTCTGACAAGTCCACCCGTCCGCCAGTCGTAGAAGGAAATGCCACCTTGGCCCTTGACACCGAGGAGGACACCGCCGGTAAGACCGTCGGCAGCGAAGGGGACGTCGAGACCGCCGACCTTGTTCTCGAAGTTCTTGAAGATCTTGACGCTGGTGGGAGACTCGCGAATGGCGAACTCGTTTGTGCTGGAATACTCCTTGGAAGCCCACACAAAGTCGAGGGCTTGACCGAATGCCTTGTTTCTCCAGGCGAGCGCAGTGTAAACGATGTATTCGCCGTCGCCGCAAATAGCAGCGAACCGACCATTGGGAGAGTGGATGAGACTTTGGGGATACACCTCGGCGGTTCCAAGCTCCTTGGTGGTGAGTGTGATAGGTTCGTTGTCCTTGATATCGGCATCTGATCCCTGTTAGCTCGGAGTCACTCTCGATGTTCCGCTTTGTAACTCACCAGCACCCTTGATCACGGCAGATACAACCTCATTGTGCCTGGCCCACACGATCTTGCCGGAGCCATCCATCGACACAGCGGGCTCTTCCCGACCAAGCTTGATGACCACCGAACCATCATCGAAACCAACAGCAATACCCTGCTTGCCCTTCTGATATGACACACACCATGCTCGCTCCAGGCCGTAGTTCAGCGATTGCTCGAACCTGTAGGTGTTGGCGTTCCATATCCTTATCGTGCCCTGCGGTTACAGTTAGTAATAGCCTGCGAGCGAGTGGACAGGTACAATATCGACGTACATCTTCCGAACCAGAGATAATGATAGGGAGCTCTGGGTGGTAGCAGGCAAAGGATACGTTGTTGGTGTGGCCTTCAAGAGTGGCGATCAAACTCTTGGTGGTATAGTCCCACACTTTCACCGTGCGCTGTGCCAGTAAGTCAGCTGTGAAGTCCTATGCGCCAGCAGATATTAATATAACTCACGTCATCAGAAGTTGTGAGAAGATAGGGTTTGTCGCTGTGGGGATAGTAGTCGACGTGGTTGACGCCCTTGGTCTCGTGCGCCTCAAGCTGGAAGTTTGGTGTGGATGAACCCAAGCTCCAGATCTTGACTGTCCTGTCCAAACATGCCGAAGCAAAGGTGTTGGTATCTTTGGGGTTGATGGCGAGGGACATGACGTAGTCTGAAACTCCGTTAGCATGCGCGCTCTGCTTCGATATATCGGGCCGGTGGCGCCATACGTGAGTTGCCCTCGAATACCCGCACGTTCTTCCATCCCTTCTCCCAATCCCAAAGCTTGATCGTCATGTCATCACTGGCGGTAAGGACGAAGGGTTGTGTAGGATGGACGCAAATGGCTCTGATGTAGTCGGGATGCGCCTCGAAGGATGTGATCTTTTCGCTCGTGTTGTAGTTGTAGACTCGAATTTGGCTGCGATTCCAGGTCAGCCTGCCTGTCTAGCACTAGCGGTCCAGTGCCCGCACCCCAGGTTCCATGTCAAACATACAAGTCATCGGAACCACAGATGATCCAGTTCTTCCGCGCAATGAAGCGACCAGCGCGGACGGGGACATCGGTAAGCTCGAAGGTCTTGACGATTTGTTGTGTCTCGTATGACCAGATATAGACGTGGCCGCTGTAGAGGGTCGCTAACGACCGAAGTAGTGTCAGAACTCAGGCCCTCTCCCATCGTATCGCGGGTCGAATCAGACGTACTCAGAATCCATGGCTCGGTAGGATGGAAGTCGATGCCCTTGACTCGCTATGTGCGGAATATGGGTGAGCAATGGGAACCTTGAATGTTGAAAGACTGCTTGGTACCGGAGAAATCAGGGGGTCAAGAGGACAGGTAACGAACCTCGGAGCGGGCAAACAACTGGCGCTGCATGTTGACAGGCATGTTAGCAGGTGTTTTCTAATGAGAGATGGCCCAGTTGGAGGCAGCGATGTGATGATGGACGTGTCGGCGCAATGGAGCTGGCCGTCGAGGTGCCGGAACAGCAGACGAAATAGGGGGCAACTGGAAGATCCCAGGCCGAAGCTGAAGGAGGTTGCAAGTGTGCGCCAGGTTGCAGAATCGTGTTGTTCTATTGTGTCTCGGTGACACGGCCATGGTGATGCAGACACGAAGCCTGTGCGAACTTGCCTTGACATCCAGCCTCATGTTGGGCGAGTTTGGGGTGGGTGTGTGGTGTGTGGTGTGTGGTGTTTACAAGTTGGAATTAGAGGACGGGGCGGTCGTAACGGTTCTCGAGCTTCCAAGCTTCAGGTGGGGTGCGTGCTGGATGCTGGAGATGGTCCCTGACCGTACAAGAAAGCCGCCGTCGGGTTCGTCAGGGGTGAAGCTATCGGAAGTGGTGCAATTGTGGTTGTATGTATTTGGTGTATTGGATATCTGGTCCGCCGAAGGGGGGGACGTGGTTGGCGGTACGAGGATTCGGAATAGAGGCTTCGGAGGCCTTGACACTTGATGCGACGGGCCGGAAATGACAGCGGACGGTTGTAGAGGTGCCCGCCACGTATCTCGACCGGCCGCCGCCCACAATTTCGCGGCTGTGGTCTGCTCGCCGCTCGGGCCACTCTCTCCCTCAGGCGGTCAAGTGGATACAGCTGCCGGCCACTGTCACTTCCCCCTCCTACGCTCGCCAGCTGCTGCCTAAGGCAACGACCAACCGACAGCTTTGCAGATCTCTTGGAGCCCCCCTCACCGTCGGTGCATTCAGTGTTTGAAGCCATCACCATCGCCAAACCACGTCCAAATTCGACCACTGGAGATCATCAAAAAACCAAAAGGCTTGGACCAACGCAACGGTCACTTTGTGAACAACTCAATTTCTCCCATTTCGGAGGAGTGTCACACACGAGCAAATTTACAAGATACGAGTATTTCCAAAGCCAAAAGGTCTCAGCGATGCAACAGGACTAAGGCGCGACCGATCACGGTCAGTAGTCAACTCGGTACTCCCATCATCCATTTTCATCGTTAGGAACATTATCAGCAGTCACAAAATATGGGCTCAAAAAAACGGCTCGAAGAAGTGATCAAGTTTGAAGCACTTTGCATACGACAACGTTACTGGGACATGGACAAGAATTGAGTGTGAGTACTTCTTATTGACTTGAACTATATCTATCACTGCAAAGCGCTTCTAGTGATTGCGCGAAGATAATAATATAGAAGAAGAAAAAGGAAAACCAAAACCTCCAGGATGTTAATATGATCCCGGCTAAACGCCATTGATCCCAATTGTATAATGCTCCCTGTTGATATCCCAGAAAGCAACCAAATGAACGCCATATTCTCCGGATTCCGAGGGTCCACGACACCGTTGCCCTATTCCCTATCCGTAAAGTCTTCGCTCATTTATCATAAGACATGAAGTAAGAATGAATTTGAAAACACAAGTTGACAGAAATGCTCCATCTAGTCGTCTTGCAAGTCGGCCTGTACGCGCTGTACAACCTCGACCACCTTGGGGAACAGCTTCTCCTGCTCATTCAAGCCGCAGACCTGCTTGACAACGTCCTCGGGCTTGTTGCTCGCCATGATCTTGGCAAGTTCGGCCGACTCCTCGTCGCCCTCGACGTTCTGGAAGCGGAACGCCATCTCAGCAGCATCGAGCAGAGCGCTGCAGTCCTTACCATGTTCGGCAAGCTCGGCTGCGGGGCCGATGAACCGCTCCTTGCGGGACAGCTTCCGTAGGGGGGCACGGCCCACACGCTCGACGGCATCCTCCAAGTGAGGGTTGCTGATGCGCCTGACAATCTTTTCAACGTACTCGTGCTGGGCCTGTTCGTCGATGCCGTGCTTCTGCGTAATGAGGTGGGACGTGTTCTCGAGCGCCTTCTTGACCTCTTCCTGGATGTCCTTATCTTGGAGAGCATCATAGACGGTGCTCTTGCGGCGGATGTAACCATGGTAAGCGGCCGTCGCGTGGCCGGTGTTGACAGTGTAGAGCTTACGCTCAATGTAGGGCAGCAGGTTGTCGACCCAGTTGATGCCCTTGATGTCCGGCGGCGACATGTCCTTGAAGGGAGTGCGGTCGACCACCCACTCATAAAACTTCTCAAGCTTGACATCCAAGCCTGCGTCGGCATCTTGGGCCGGAACAATGCGATCGATGGCCGAGTTGGCGAAACGGGCGCGCTTCTCATAGTTCTCCAACCGGTGCGAGGGAGTGTTCTTAGGGTCCTTGATGTACTCGGCAAGAGTATCCGTCGCCCCAATGGCATTCTCGCAGGCAATGACAGCCACAGGGGGCAGGTCCTCGGATCTGCGGTCGATACCCTTGGCAATTACAGGGGCAATGAACTTGAGGATGTTGGGGCCGACGGAGCAAGTCACCACTTCAGCCGTGGCGATTTCCTGGATAAGCTCCTCCTCATTGGTGCGAGAGTTGATGGCGCGGTAGTTGGTAATGGTCGATTCCTCCGTTCCTTCGCTTCCCACCTCGATAACCTTGTAGGAGGGGCTGGCGTTAAGGGCGTTTATTAGGTCGGCGTTGACATCGGCAAAGATGACTTCGTATCCAGAGTTGTGAAGGAAGCAGGCAACGAAACCACGACCTAACGGATGAGGAGTCAAGGTTAGTATATGGGACGTCCAAGCCTGGGGGGATGTTGAGGGGTGGGAAGAGATTTGGGAGGCACATACCAATGTTGCCAGCACCAAAGTGCACCGCCTTCTTGGTATAATTGTTGGCAGCCATGTTGACTAGTGTTGGGTATCGAGGATGATTTGTGTGTTTGGTGTTTTTGGTGTATAAGGGTGGTTGTGGTATGCCTGTGCTTGGGCGAAGAGAGTCGGAGAGATGGCAAGTTGGAAGGGTAGAGCAGAGTCTAATATGTCCAAAGCTTTAAGCGCGGTGACGTCGTGCTGATGGAAAGAGGTGATGGGCGTGGGATGGATGTGATTAGACTTGAAGATCACAAGATGGTATGATATGGAGACAAAGAAAGAACAGTTGAGGTAGATGAGGGGGATTTAATTCCTTTATACACATGCCATCCAGTTGGCCATGACGATCCGGCCTGGCATACACATGGCGTGCCCATGCCTTTGGCTGACTTCTGGCTACGTAGGTACCTACCGACTGCGTCCTTACGCAGGGCCCTCACTTGTTCTCTCTGCGCTTTCTCTGGTGTACTGTGCAAGATACGGAGAGGGCCAAGTGCAAGTGAACAACACCCCGGTCCCATTGCTTGAACAAGAAATGGCAAGTATTGGGGTTGATCGTCCATATTGAGTGGGTCTGCACGAATAAGTGACGGTTCTGGTAGGTTGAGGGAGGTCGCAAATGGCAGGCATGTGTCGGGTGTGGCTTGTCTCCTTGTTGACCGGGGTGTTCATTTGTAAGTCGCCAGTATCCACGGACAATGACGGTCCTCGCGGCTACGGCCCGTTTGCGTAACGGACCCAGCAGCAACCCTTCTTGGGTTCCTAGAGATCGATGATCATTGTGAATGAAGCCGGGACTAAACTGGATTCGTTGAACAGAATATTCGCAAGTCCCGCCGAACCGTAAGCCTGCCCCACCATTGGATTTTGGATGTTGAGGTTCCTGACTGCGGCGTCCTGCCTCCTTGAGTGCACTTGCCTCGAGGTACACTTACATGCGCAGGTAGGTACGTACTCTCGCTTGACGAGACGCGGTCGGGTTGGCATGCCCTCGATTCCGGAAGCAGAATCCACGCATCGGGCTCTAAACTCCCGATTGTTCACGATTTGCTGAACTACAATAACAGCAGGCTCAGAACATATGATGTTAACGTGGACCAAATGAGCCACGCCCTCGTAGTGCAGTCACGCCAGGTCGGATATAGAACGGTCTTGCGATGCTAGTCACTTATAACGCTTGGCCTGTTGGCGACGGCAGACAAATCTGAAGCCATTGCTTGTGACATGTCTCCAAGCCAGTGGTCACACACACCCGACAGATGCCAAGATCTAGGGTCTGTTGGACCCTTTGGGTGTTATGCCATGCAATGCTTCGACCGGGCATGGGGACGGAGTGGACGGTGTGGACGGACTTGTTTGAGGCTGTTCTTGGGTAACAGGCCCTGACGCCATCAGAACGTGCCCTGGCTATTGCAAATGCTCGGTTGCAGCACCCAGGTGCCGTCACGATGGCTTCATTCTTCGGCCCAATACAGACATAACAAGTGGTGACTACTCGATTGACAAAACGGCTAGTGTAGACCCGTCTGCTGTGGCACCTAACACGACAGAGCCGCGTTGGTTAGAGAACACAGTGACGCCAACAAGCGGTCATTGACAGTGTTCAGAGAGTGTTTTTGCTGTGTTGTATTGGGCTGTTCTGGCGGCCTTGAAAACGGGACAAAGACACCCTGGTCGGCCGTCATCGATAGATGGATCCACTCCAGGAGCCCCGGGGCATGTCATCATTCTAGGCACATACATACCGAGATAGGACCGTTTGCCAAACCACCAAGCTCGAAGCTCACGATACCGATCCAGAGTGCAGACCATGTGGTTGCCAGGCAGTGTAACTGGAAAACAGAAGAGCTCGTTATCAGTGACGTCGAGGCACTTGTGTTCTCGGGACACGCTGCACTTACAAAGCACCGGCTTAGGTTTGTAAGCCTGGCTGCTTGCTGTGGCTCGCCACGATCATTGCCCGTACTAGTCAACCGAGTTGAATTGTCCACTGTTCTTGTTCTTTATTTGTCATATCGAGCCATGAGATTTGACCTCACAGCAAGCAGAATACTGGAAGTTTTTGATAGGCTCAGCACGATATTTGCTACAGCGTACAACTTGCGACCGTCGGGTTTTCCTTAGGTTCCACTTGTGCTTGACGCTGCACCGTCAGGGGCACCCAGACGCCGTGACTTACACGAGGTCGTCGAGGCATCCATTCTCCCTTCCTTTCCGGCGCCCACCGGTGGAACCGAACCCGACAGCGGATAAGAGGTGGGGCGCTTGGCATTCGTCATAAGTCCACTCTTGTGGTTCGCTTTGGTTCTGAAGAGGACTGCCCCCGTCGTTCTGAGTAAAGTGGACTGCTTTTTTTCACCAATCATGTATTGAGTCCGCACAAAGACATGGGTTTTAGTGGACCATTTTCGCATTTCAGGGTCCACTATCTCCTGAGCCCCGCTCTTCAAAAGAATGCCCGCTAAGCCCGCCGAAAACCCACCAGAAATCCCCAGTATGACGTGCGGCAAAGACGAACAAACAAATCCACCGACGGCGATCGCGATCCCAACGCGACTGCCGTCGATTGACATCGTGAGTTTCTCTTTTGGCGTCTCTGCTATCATCCCTTTCCGGAAAACTGGCGACAAGCGGTCAACAACTGGTGACTTGCGGCCCTCCTCCGCCTCCAGTCTGTCCTTGACTCACGATAGCGCACCACACCACCACAATATGACGAAGCCGGTGACCTAACGCCGGTCAACCATTCCCCCTCAATCAGTCACAATCGCGGTGGTCAATGACCAGTGTGTTTGTCGCATTGTTCTGCATTCATTGCCATGTGAGCGTCATCTTGCAATCCGGTTTTACACATGTGGTATAACTTCGCTTCTGTCTGTCTTCCCGTCGTCGCATTTCTCACCATTTGTTGACCGCTTTCACGATTTCCATCAGCAGCAACCACGGATGAGTACGCGACGTGTAACTACAAAGGGCGCAACTACACGATATTGTTAACTTTGCCGGTTTCTTTGCAGTGTTCTCAATGGGTCTTGCTTGCCCTGTCGCCGCTCACAATTCTTGACTATCTAGCTTCCGACACGATACTTGAATGTCCAGCCCGCGACGTGCAACGACTCATCATCAAGTCCCGTCTTCTACCGCCAAGATGAAGGCCGTGAATTGACCAACTGGAACACATGGAACCGCTCAGAGAAAAGGTCAAGCATCGAGGATCCACGTCTCCATGGCGCTGCATCAAACCTCGGCCAACCTCGATCGAGCATTGGGGATCTTCCTCTTGTCTCACCACACCCTCTCACATCCTATCTCTCACAAGCCTCACGTTTCCCTCATCACAGGTTGTGCACGGTGGGACGACCAGGGGTTCGCATTTCACAGCGTTTTCACTCAGGTCCTCTTCACCCCTCACAGGGCCAAAAAACTCGATATCGATCAAAACGGTCCAGGCGATCAATTTCCCCTTTCTCGCTACCCTGCATCCACGATATGGCAAGGATGCCAATTGATGCTGATGGAGATGATCAAGCCTCAATTGGCTTCCGTTCAGCGGTGTTTATGCTGTTTTCAGTCAAGTTATCCGTCTCTTTCACACATTGTCGGCTGCGGGAGCCGCACCTATTCATTTCATATTATGGCTAACAAGCCATTCTCAATGGGCCATTGCAGATTTGCAAACCACCAGAGAGGTCAGGTTGGGTATTTGACCTTGCATTCCTGTCGATCCTCAGGCCACTTTTGCATTTTAGCCATGTTGCCTAGTGGCATCTTGTTGGGGCTCCTGTCAATCGATATCCCGTTTCGTTATTCAAACAAGATGGTGTGCAATTCTGAGACAACGGCCACGGCAGAGCAACCACCTGAAGGGTCGAAATTCAGTCACTTCACGATGTTCGGCCAGCTCTTCCTTGTTTCTACGCGCATCCACTTAGTATTCGTTACATGCAAGTGATGCTCGCGGTCTCGAGACAGTGTCTCCTGAGCGGATCTCAGATTTGCCCGATTTGATATTCCCCCAACACTTAACTTATACGTTGCCTCGATACTCCCTCGGTTGGTTATTTCGGCGGATCTCGTGCCAAGGACAAGCATATGTAACACCGCTGAACAGTGACCGAAACCGGTGGACGGCCCGATGCTCTCATGTCATCCCGCGTTCTCTGCCGGTTTTTCCGTCTTTCGGGAGAATGCAGCATACGGGCAGGACCCCAATGCCCCGAACTCCTATCCAGACTCCATTCAGTGACTTAGTTTTGCCCGACCAACACGGCCCAGGGGACCCACATTGTCGGCCGGGCAGCCGCGTCGCCCGCGTCGCCGTCTCTTCAACGGTTCGAAACCAGCCTTCACCAGCTCACTCATACTGTCCGGATGGCACCTACCTTGTGCCAATGGTATAATAGAATGCCATGTACCCGCGCTATCCACAGTCTATGGAAGTATCTGTGGCTGATCGTCGTTCTCCCTGGTGTTGCTGGTTTCCCCGACCAACGACCCTTTCGAAGGTCGGGTCTGTGACCCTTCTCCCAGATTTGTTGACGGCCTGCCAGGTTCACCGGCTTGAAACATAAAAGTCAAGCCGCGATGAAACGCCGGAAGGTTGTGGGACCCTAGTAAAAGCACTCGCAAGCTTGGCAGCCCTTTGGTTCGTTTCTTGAGCCTTGAGCCATCAGATTTACCACGAGGTTGATCAAACCCCACAGTCTCATTCAAGTTCTTTATGAGCTTATTGTTCGACCTAGGTCGAGAAGGAGGTAGCCTTGGGCATTAGGCTCCGTCAAGGACGCCTTTGTCCAAACCATACATCTTCGGTGCTACCACTGCCATGCTTGATTATTTGCATGCGACTTACAGTTCCGGAACGCACCACTCGCCAGTCACGATGGTTGCTTCAACGGTTGAAGTTGACCGACGAAGGATGGAGTTGATGGAGCCGATAGGTAATTGAACCTGGACGCGCTACTACACGTGTACCCCGCAAATTGCTGATCTACCCCGGACTTACAACTTCCTATCTGTGGGGGAATGGGATCTGCTGGAGATCAAAGTGGATTCAAACCTCGACGCATAACCTGCTTCATTGGTTTGATGAAGCGGCCATGAAGAGGAGTTGTGCAGGCATGGGCTGACACGTGGAGGAAATGAAGTTCGATTTTGGATATGTTGGGATCTATCTCAATGTTCTCCTTGCCAGATTACGTACGTCGGCTGTAGCCCGTCGAAAGGTTACTTCTGGAGGCTTCAGCAGCCACAGAAGGACATGCCTTTTTTCCTTCAGAACATTACAGAGCCACGTCGGTTGAAGGGCCACGCTATATTTTCGGACATATGTTTTCGGCTATTTTGCTGCTTAGGACAAGCGGAATGGTACTTTCGAAGAGGCCTCCGAAAAGCATTATGAAGAGGCATTTGGATATGCTTATCCCAAAATCAGGAAGTTCGTGATTTCCCGTCCTTCCCGCAGCTTTTCGTAACAGCCAAGCCCCGATACATCGGAGTCATCGCAATTGTATGCAAGCCTCTCGTTCCATTGGTCTCTCCGCGCCGTCGCAGGGCTTCGAACTCCGCCGTACCGTTTTCATGGCGTGATTCAAAAGGTTTGGGACGTGATAGTGTCAATCATCTTCAGGGATTTCTGCATTCCTGACGGATATCACGGCATATGGTCCTTTCTTTGTCAGCTTGTGGCCGTGGCAGGTGTTAGGTACTCTGCGAGCTGTATCTTTGCGTTGCGGAAACTTCATGTGCATGGGTCAAATCAAGGTCATCGTGATCTGGTTCTGGGATAGGATTCTTAATGATCAGGACAGGTTACCAACACATGGTCTGCAGCGGGGCGCTTCAAAATCTCGTGGGATGGTCATCTCTGGTATGACTGGTGGAATCCTCTCTGCTGAAGATCATCGACTGGAATCAGAGACATGAGTGGGGAAGAACACAGTGGAGGGTGTGAATGAGACAGAACGAACACGCTCGATGATACCTTCAAACATGTGAAGAGACGAAGGCATCTTGGTATAAAATCATATGTAAGCCTTATCTGGCTTTATCGCCATCACATGTGCTTGCTTACTCGTGAAGACCTCCCTTCAGCAGCGTGATGGCTACCACAAACCAGACTCGGTGTTCTCTTCATGAGACGGAACTAACATCTCATGCTTTTCAGTTAGAGCAGCAGCGAGGATCAAATGGGAGAG